TTTTGAAGCTGTATTGGAATGAAAAAAGCTTGTAGAATCAAACCAGCTGCCTCAAATGCATGGAGTTTAAGGGTCCTAACCAAGGAACACTGCCAAACTGGGTCAGGAGGGAAGGAAGGCCTGTCTTCCTAAGGGCCAGCTTGTGTCTGATCCAGCAACATAAAGTCTATAGTCGATTTAAGAGATTTAGGGAATTTAAGAGATTAGGGAAAGGATGGATGGTGGGTTCAGGTCAATGATTCTTTTGAACATAACAGACTTCCTAAGGTTTCAGATAAATCGTATTATGTATAATAGCAAACTTTCATGCATATGAAAGGCAAATCATTTATCTAAGAAGCTTTCTTTTATCTTCCTCCTTCCCTTCATTGTTCATTTGTTCGTTCCTTCCTTCCCTCCCTCCTTCCCCTTCTCTCCCTCCCTCCCTCCCTTCCCTCCCTCCCTCCTTTCCTTCTTTTGTTTCTTCCTTCCTTCCTTCCTTCCTTCCTTCCCTCCTTCTTTCTTCCTTTAATTCTGAGCTTAAGCCTGTTGCCTTACATGTGCTAGCCAAGTGCTCTTCCACTGAAATACATCCCAATCTTTGTGTATGCATGCGTGCATGCGTGTGTGTGCCTGTATGTGTTTGTAGATGAGATCTTACTATGCGACTCAGACTGGTCTTGAACTTGTTGTGAAATCTGGGATGGCCTTGAACTGGAACTTCTCTGGCTGAGATTATAGGCATGTCTACTATCCACGGCAAGAATTCTTATTCTACTGTGGTAATCAGTATATTTGTTCCCAGTTCTTCACTCTATGAGAATGCCACATTTGCTGGGTACTGATGGCGTATACCTGTAATCCTAGCTACTCAGGAGGCTGAGATGTAAGGATCATGCTTGGCCAGGGAAATTGGAGACTCATCTCAATTAACTACCCCATAACTGGAATTAGCACTGTGGCTCAAGTGGTAGAGCACTGGCCTGTGCACAAAGCTCAGGGACAGCACCCAGATCCTGAGTTCAAGCCCCAAGACTGGCACCAAAAAAAAAAAGAAAGAAAGAAAGAAAAAAGAATGCTACATTTTTGTCATGAGCCATGGAAGGATGATGAATCTGGTGCTGGCAGAGGAGGAAAGGGACAGACATTATGTCTGAGAGGCTGCTGACATATCTGGGTGTGAGAAGGAAAGGGCCTGGGCTAGAAGTGCTGGCAACTGAAGGGAAAGGGTGCCATCAGAGAGGATAGAAAGCAGGATGCTAGTGTGTGAGGGGAGAGAAGGGGAGAGGGAGAGCGATTCAGACAGATGTCCGGGGGGGGGGGGTTGGAGGGAGGTTGAAGGAGCGTGAGCAGAGGTAGAGATGATGAGCTCTTTTTTGGCTTGTGTTCTAGTGCTAGTGTGGTGGTCAGTGTGGAAGCAGTAGGTGGAAAAACAAATCTGAGGGGAGGCTGTGGACAGAAACGCACAAATGCCTGAAGCCTCCGCTTAGCCAGGGAGGCAGGGAGAGAGATGGGACCGGTGGGATGGAGTAGGGAGTTTCTGATGTGCTCTAACTACCTGAAGAATTGTAAACTTACTGTGTGCAGCTCATTTGCTTCCCCAAGAGGAAGAGTTAGATGATTCTCCAGAAGAGCAAAATGAGAGGGGAAGAAGTTTCCGGTTTTCCCTCAGGTTACACAGCCACGGATGGTGACCCGTCAGTGGGGCGACATCCTGCCCTTCACCACTGCAGAAACTCAAAGGACCCCCATTTTACCTCAACCAGTTCACGAGATCCTGCCATTGCTGACAGACTGGTCAATACGGTCTGATCCTGCACATACAAGAAGACTGCTCGTTGCTTGAGCAAAGTCCATTGGATGACCCGGAAGTAGTTGCGGGGAGTGGAGTGGGGGGCCGGGCACCTGACCGTGGACTTCACTGCAGCTCAGCCTGTTGGCAGAGTTGGGGTAGATGGTCAAGAAATGTTAGGTGACTCGAAGGACAGAAAGGTAGTCTCAGGGCCAGTCTGACTGGTTCTGTTTATTTCCGTTTAGAGAAGGAAGGGCTGTAGGAAGGGGTAGTGGACTTGACAATTATTATTATGATTACTTTAGGAACCTAGAAATGTTAGGATCTCAAGTCCAAGGGAAGCAGTCAACTCTGGATGGAGAAGGATGGCAGATGAGGACCAGAGAGAAACTATCTCATAAGAAAGAGACATTGTGTTGGAAATGAACTATACAACAGGGGGGAAAACAAGGAAGAGGGTGGCATTGTTCAAAAAGTCATTGTAAGCCTTATGACCACCTTTGGCCCTCAGCTCCACCCAGGCCAGCTGGCCCCTCCCTCTCTCTGCCCAGACCCACCTGAGCTCCCATCCACCTCACTTCCGACCCAGATAGCGGAGGCTGCCATGCCCTCTCTCTCCGGGACAAATATAACTCCTCTAGTAAACCTCGTAATAATCTTTCTCCTGTGCCTGCCTGCCTCTGAGTGGTCCCCTGAGCTGGCTGTGATGGATCCTATCCTTTCAACGGATCCTTTCAGTCATTGCCTGACTTATGTAATTGTAACCCCTTGGTATAGCACCTTAACAATAAAAAAAGGAAAAGAGAAAAGAACACCCAAGTTTGTGAAAACGTAAGGGCTATCTTTTAAAAGTGGGTTTATAATGACAAGCAATTAGAATTCTTCTAAGTTATGTCGCCACATCCTTACTGGCTTATTTTAGGGAACAGCTACATATTCATCTGTTCAGATGATTTCCAGTGCCTGGTTTGAATTCTTACTCTAAAACACACTATTTAGAAAAACATTTATTCTGAATACATCTAGATAGACATAATCACATATAATACTTTATATAATTATATATAATTTATATTTTATATGTTATAATCTTGCATAATTATACGTAACATATATTTTTTTAGGTAGCAAAAGATGTATATGTATTTGTGCCAATCCTGAGGCTTGAACTCATGGCCTGTACACTCTCCCTGAGCCTCTTTGTGCTCAAGGCTAGCACTGTACTGCTCGAGCCACAGTGCTACCTCTGGCTTTTTCTGAGTAATGTACTGGAGATAAGGGTCTCAAAGACTTTCTTGTCTGGGCTGGCTTCAAACTTTGATTCTCAGATCTCAGCCTCCTTTACACTTCTAAAGGCTTGTAAAAAATATTTATTAAAGACATTTATTTGTATCTCATGTTTATGTTGTGAGCTAAGTCCTAATGTATACATCTGAATCTTCTTTTAATGTAACTTTTGTGTGATTGTGAAGGTGATGTACAGAGGGTTCAGTTATATGTCAGGTAATGAGCACATTTCTTTTTGGACAGTGTCACCCCTTCCTTCACTCTCTCCCAGTTTTTCTCTCCCACCAAGCTGTCTAGTTCATTTTCAATAGTGTCTAGTGAGCACCACTGCTGCATCTGTTCACCCTTTGTCCCTCCATCTCTGTGCCCCCCTCTTACTCTCCCAAAGACAGGTAAGTGTACAAACGAGACAAAAAGGAAAGAAAGCCGGGTGCCGGTGGCTCAGGCCTGTAATCCTAGCTACTCAGGAGGCTGAGATCTGAGGATCAGGAAGGTCCATGAGACTTTTATTTTTGGTCTGTCGTGGGGCCTGAACTCTGGGCCTGGGTGCTGTCTCTCAGCTTTTCAGCTCAAGGCAAGCGCTCTACCACTTGAGCCACAGCACCACTTCCTGTTTTCTAGTGGTTTATTGGAGATGAGTCTCATGGACTTTTCTGCCCTGGCTGGCTTTGAATCGTGATCCTCGCTTCTCTGCTTCCTGAGTAGCTAGGATTACAGGTGTGAGCCATGGGCGCCTGGCTAGGTCCATGAGACTCTAATCTCCAGTAAACCACTCAGAAAATTGGAAGTGGTGCTGTGGTAGAGCACTAGCCTTGAGCTAGTCAAAAAATAAATAAATACAAAATAAAAATAAATAAAGAAAAAGAAAAAGAAAACAAACAGCAACAAAGAGAAAACCTCTTGTGCCTATTTCTCCGAGTCCACTTTGGTAAATATAATTTTATGTGACCAGAGGCACACAGGCATTGTGCCTTTGCGTTCCTCTCCTAAGGGTGTCCTCCTTTGGTCTCACTGTGTGTGGGTGCCTGGACTGAATGATTTTTGTAAATAACTCACTGGTTTCTTATATAAATTCCAAGGCATAATTCAAAGGCAACCTGTACTGGAAATTCCTGAGTCCATAATCTCCCATGAACCACGGGGAAGATAGAATTCGGGCTGTGCCCAACTGCAAGCACATGTGCTGAGTGCAAGACCAGTCCAGGGAAACTCTTCTAAGAAGTGTCCTGAAGGCCAGGAACTGGGAGGAGCGCAGGGGGCGACGCCCGTATGGGCGGGGCCCTTGGCAGCTCTGTCATCACAGCGGCCATTGATGTGAGGTAACAATTACTGTGGCTCTATATATATTGGGTGGTGACTGGTGGGCTCTTGTAGGTAGTTTGGAGGGCGGAGTTTAGTTGGTGGGCTGTGAGGAGATTTATTGCATTGGTGGATTTTGTGTACTGATTTGGCTTCGATATTTCTGGTTTGTGATTTTGGAATTGTGATTTGGCTTTGGCTTTCGGACTTTGGGTTTTTTATTTTGCCTTTTTTATTTTCCTGTTTGTTGTTTTAGTTGTAATTATTTTCTTTATATTTCATTTCCTTTAATTTTCATTTTTAATTTCTTTTGCTGTTATTATTTTAGTTTGTTTTTTTAGTTAGTTTTTTATTTTAGTTTATTTTTTTCTTCAAATTTTTCTTTTCTTTTTCTCATTTTACATTAGCATTTAGGCATCTTGTTCATTAGTGTTATCCGTTTATTCCTTCTATATTTACATAGTAGATCATTTTATTATATAGTCATTAGTTACATTTTATCATTGTTATTATATAGTTACATTTTAGTGTTCATTATAGTTATAGTTCATTCTATTTTGCTTCATTGTTCATTGTTATATTTGACTGTATTTGGTTTCATCGATCTTGTCCCTAGACAGTATCACTAGGGTGCTGTGTTAGGATGGCTAGTAAGGGTAGAGAGGCAAAATCTTGGCAGAGCCTGGAGGCCATCTCCATGAAGAATGAGCTCTTCAACGCTCACTACCAACTGCTAAGGACCATTCGTGAGGGAGGCTTTGCCCCAGTCAAGCTAGCCAGGCACTTGCCCACTAATTCTCTGGTGGCTGTAAAAGTCCTTGATAAGAGGGATAGCCCCTTTTTTGCCAACGAATTGGACATTCTGAAGACGGTGGACCATCCAAACATCATTAGGCTTTTCGAGGTGGTGGAGTCAGAGGAGCGTATTTACCTGGTGATGGAATATTTGGATGGAGGAGACGTCGCAGACCTCTTGAAGAAGGTACAGAGGATGAGGGAAGAGGAGGCCAGACAGGTGTTCAGGCAGGTCTTGAGAGCAATCCAGTACTGCCATGACAATGGGATCGCACATCGGGACATCAAACCAGACAACATCGTATTAGACGGCAAGGGCACAGCAAAGTTATGTGACTTTGGCTTCAGTGTCAGGTTCCAGCCTGGGCAGGAGCTGGAAGGAGAGTACGGAACCATGGCCTATTGGGCCCCTGAAATGTTCAAGCAGCAGCACTACCAGGGCCCCAAGGTGGATATCTGGGGTTTGGGGGTATTATTGTACTATATGGTCATGGGCAACGTGCCATTCACCGGCAGGTCCTGGATTGTGCTCAGGAAGCAGGTCCTGAGCGGCAGATTTGAACTCCGAAAATCTTTTTCCCCGGAACTCCGCGGAATCTTAGCTTATCTCTTGACGGAGGATCCGAAGAAGAGGCCCTTGGTGAAGCAGATAATGCGACACCCCTGGCTCAGACCGATGGTGTCCACCTCCCCAGCCGTCAAAGCGAAGACGCCGAACAAGGCAGACCCTACCATCTTATATGTCATGGCCATATATTTGGGCTTTGACCCGGCAGATGTGCAGGCAGCCCTGTCAGGTAGGAAGTTCAACACAGCGATGGGAACCTACCGCATTCTGCAGGGCCAGCAGGACAAGGGCCGTAATCTCACCCGCCTGATGAAGCGCCTGCTCCCCTTGCGTCCACCCTGCCCCTCCCCTGCATTCCCGGGAGCCCTGCCCCTTCACATCAAGAGGGCCAGCGCTCCGGCGCGCCACCGGCGCCCTGTGCCGGTCGACCAGCCGGACGACGAGGAGGAGGATGGCCGCAGGAAAAGCAGTGCCTCCATATGCCTTCCCTGCCTCCTCTGCAGCCCCTGCACGACCGGCGCGGAGTGGGTAACGGAGGGCAGAAAGTCCTTCCCTCCCGCAGCAGCAGCAGGAGCAACTACCACCCTCCCCACCGGCCCACCCCCTGAGACGCCGGCGGTCAGCAGAGCCGATTCCCTCCCCCACATCCTATACAACACGTGGACCCGGGCCAAGCAGCGGGAGAAGCGGGAGAAGGACATCAGCTCTCCCACCCCGGGTCCAAAAGCAGCCGATGCCAAGGCCCCTGAGGACGTAGAGGAGGTCATCCAGCTGCCCTCAGAACCACCACTGGCAGAAACGACCATTGTGGAGAATCTGTGCACAGAGGTGAAGACGGAGGCGAAGACCGAGGCGAAGACGGTCAGTGACTCTCCTCCCTCTGCTCCTGCAGTGAATGGAAGACAAACCCTTTGGAAGCGGCTCAGAAAGAACGTGTTAAGCTGTCTGGAGAAGCTATGCTGCTGCTGCCGGCAGCAGCAGCAGCAGTAAGAGGAAGCAGCCTTTCAATCTGGAAACAAGGTAGGTAGACGCTGCCCGCTCGGCTCTGGGCTCTGGGTTTTGGCCGTAGGTGGAGGAAATCCTTGTGGCTCATCACCCCTGGTGTGTGGTCCTCTGTCTGGGAGTGGAGTTGGTCCTCTGTCTGGGTGTGGGGTGGGGATATTAAAAGAAAGGAGGGGGGAGGGGGAGAAGGAGGGTGTGTAAAGGGGATAGAATTTCAGAAGGAAGGGATGGTGACCTATCAAGTGTTGTCCAGTGCAATTCAGTCCCTGCGTTTCCTTTCTTCCTGCAGCTCAAGTGGAAGAAGAAACGATTTCCACACTGCTCCAGCCTTCAAGACAAGCTGAACTTGCCTATGAACTGGCTTCCCTAGGCTGCTACCACCCACATTCGTGCCAGGCGCCAGACACACCAGCTGTCCTGGCAGCACCGGCCTGAAACCACTCACCCTTGACACCTGCTGCAAGTCCCTGCTGACTAAACGGTCCGAGACCCTTCTCATCCTGCCCAGGCGGCACCAGCCTGAAGCCACTCACACTTGTCACCTGCTGTAAGCCCTTGCTGTCTAAACGGTCTGAGTCCCCTCTGATCCCTACGATCCGAGACCCTTCTGAACCTGTTCTGGCGGCACCTGCCTGAAGCCACTCACACTTGTCACCTGCAAGTCCTTTCTGACTAAACGGTCTGAGACCCCCTCTGATCCCTACGGTCCGAGAACCTTCTGATCCTGCCCAGGCAGCATCTGCCTGAATCCACTCACACTTGTCACCTGCTGCAAGTCCCTACTGACTAAATGGTTTGCTAACCCACTGATCCCTACGGTCCGAGACCCCTTCTGACCCTGACCAGGGAGTTCACCTGGGAGTGTACCCCAATAAATTTCTTTTTTTTGGGGTCCGGTCGTGGGGCCTGAACTCTGGACCTGGATGCTGTCCCTCAGCTCTTCAGCTCAAGGCTAGCGCTCTACCACTTGAGCCACAGCGCCACTTGCGGCTTTTCTCTTTTTATGTGGTGCTGAGGAATCGAACCCAGAGCCTCATGCATACAAGGCAAGCGCTCTACCGCTGAGCCACCTTCTCAGCCCCCAATAAATTTTTCTTTTATTCACCTTTACACCTCCTCTTGCGTGTTCTTTCCTCGCCTATAACCTTACAGGTCACACACTTCAGACTTCCTACTTTGGATACGGTTTCTAAGGTTGTTCCTGTGGTTCTCATCAACTTAATAAGCTGTTATTCCTGGGGCATGTCTAATGGTCTGTCATTGTAATTTCAATCCAATTTCAAGCCTTAGGATTAATTAACATGCTTCAATATCTAGTAACTGTTCAAAACATAATGAATGTGTGGAAATGGTTGCCTTCAGTGAATCTAGCCTTTTGGAATGTCCTTGGCTTCAACAAGATTTAAGAATCATGATCTTAGAACAAGCTCACTATACTGTAAGTGAAAAAAAGAAAACAAAACACTCCAGAAAACCACTAGGACATCGAGGTAGGAATAACAAAGGAAACGTTTATTGCCCTTACACAGACTGGCAAGACCCCATCTCACCAGGTGAGAAGTGCTGGCTATCCCAAAAGGGCTGATTATTTGCTGCCTTTATGACACAGGCCTAGTTAAGCTGCCTTTATGACATAGGCCTGGTTAAGCTATGAGGGAGGAGGCTGAGGGAGGAGGCTTCCTTGGCTAACACATGTAATTGGATTTATGTGAATTTTTGTCAACCCCAGTTTGTCCTCAAGCAAGTTTACTTATTTTTGGAAGTTTCTGGCTGTTGAATGGCCTTTAGATGAAGGCCTGAGAAACTTGTGTTTCATTGCCCTTGACTTTGAGTGGAGATGATTGTCTGCTCTATATTTCTGGGTCCTCGGGGTCATGAAGATGACACCGCTTTTTAGAAAGTGCTCTGTGTTTTTGTATAAAAACCGGAATCATCCTTCAGCGTACCGGGAACAACAAGAGGAAAGCAGGTGGGGCTGAGAGGAGAGAGGCCTTCCCCCTTCCTGGGTGGTTCTGCCCAAGGTCTGGCTCATCCTCATCTTGCTTTACCTCTGAGCTGCAGCAGTCTATCATGCCCACGCTTCCAAAAGCATCCCCAGATACCAGCCACACACGGGAGCACCCTGGGTACCTCAAACCTAGTACCCCCAATTTTAGCAGGCCTAGCCCTCCTCCAAAACACCTTATTTTCTGAACTCCATAGTTGACAGCATGGTAATCAAAATGAAGTTACTTGTGTCCACCTTGAACCAACCAACCAACCCGGAAGTTATAGTTGTCCCAGCGGGCTTCCTGATGCTCGCCACTGGCTCCACCAGACCTTGCCTTGCACCACGTCCCCTGGAGAAGCCCATAGGGAGCACTTCCTCTTTATACCATCTCAAACCGCCACCATCCTTGTCATTATTGTCTCAAAAGGTATGAGGTTATCCTTGTCATTTCATCTTTAGAAACTGTCCCTTTGTTTTGACCTCTTTGAATGTGCTCACTGTGTGGGCTGGGGCAGGAATTCCCAGGGCTGGTGATGTTTGGGACTCCAGGAAATATGAGAATTTCCCTGAATGTGACTTCCTCTTCTCCTTGTCCTGAACTTACAAGTGGGGTGTGTGTGTGTGTGTGTGTGTGTGTGTTTTCAAGAACTGAAGCTTGAACTCAGGGCCTGGGCACTGTCCCTTAGCTTAGTGCTTGAGGCATCACTTGAGTGTAGAGGCTTTAACTCCACATCCAGTCTTTTTGGTAGCTAATTGGAGATAAGAGGCTCACACAGTTTCCTGCCCTGTCTGGCTTTGAACCTTGATCTTCAGATCTCAGCCACCAGAGTATCTAGGATTACAGGTGAGCCATGGGCACATCAGCCAACAAGTAATTTTTTTTTGTTATGTTCTGTTTTTATCTTTGCCGGCCACACCTGGGCAGTGGCAATGCTCTCTCAAAGTCCTCAGTTCTGCCGCTCTAGGTCAGCTTGAGTTCACACGGTTCCTAGTTCTCGCCTTCTTCATTGTCTTCCACCACCTTCCTTCTGTTTTCCCCCCTCAGGCGCCAGGTGACTGGCCTCTAGGTCTGACCTCTGCAAACTCTTATCTGCAAACAATGACAGTCATCAAAGCCCCTAGGTGGGAATTCACCCAGTCAGTGTTAGTCTGGGTCCAGAATGCTTAACAAGCACAGAGGTCACAGCATGAAGCTCAAGCGAGCAAACCTGTCTTTGAGCTCGGGCCAGTTCAGGGCCTTGGTGTCCATTGGGGACAGTCAGGGTCTTGGTGTCCATCTGGGCACAGCTCTGGGCCTTGGTGTCCATCTGGGGACAGCTCTGGGCCTCAGAGTCCATCCAGGGACAGCTCTGGGCCTTGGTGTCCATCTAGGGACAGCTCAGGGCCTTGGTGTCCGTTGGGGACAGTCAGGGCATGTCTGTGTCCCATTGACCACAGCTGTCTGGGACAAAGCCAGATAGGGACTCATCTAATGCCTGGAAGGAGAGAGCGGCTGGCACCTAGAAGGTGGTATTATTATTGTCATGATTTATGCCCCTGCCCCAGGTTCCATCTTGGCTCATTTGACCTCTTTCCAAGGGTATGCCTGTGACTCTGACTGCCTCCCTCTTCTACTCTGAGGTGCTGGGTGCTGGGTCTCAGGGTGTTGTGCTGAGGTGCTGGGTGCTGGTCTCAGGACATTGTGCTGAGGTGCTGGGAGCTGGGTCTCAGGATGCTGTGCTGAGGTACTGGGTGCTGGGTCAGGGTGCTGTGCTGAGGTGCTGGGTGCTGGGTCTTAGGGTGCTGTGCTGAGGCTCACTGCCCACAGCAGCAGTCTGTCATGGTCATGTCTAGGCTGAGGCTGATGTCCGGTCTCTCTGTGTTGCACCTCTGGGGGGGAGGCAGTGTTGATTCTGCACTCAGATTCTTCTAAACACCAATGAGGACTTCCTCTGGAGCCCTGGCTCCAGCACCAGAGACCCGGTTATGGAGCTCCTTTCTCAGGGATTCAGAGCAGCTTCTCGTTGTGTTTGTGCATACTCATGAGGTATAGTGTGATGCTTTGCTTTGTGTTCATTTGCTCATTTTCTTGCTCTTTTTATGTGCTGGTCCTGGGGCTTGCACTCAGGGCCTGGGCACTGTCCCTGAGCTTCTTTTGTACAAGGCTAGCACTCTACCACTCGAGCCACAGAGCCACTTCTGGATTTTTCTGAGTAGTTTATTGAAGATGAGAGTCTCTTAGACTACTGCCTGGGCTGGCTTTGAACTGCAATTCTCAGATTGCTAGGATTACATGCGTGCGCTACCAGTGTCTGTCTCCCTCCCTCCCTCCCCCCACCTCTTTCTCTCATCAATTATCTTTTTTCCTCCAAACAATGCCTTTCCCTCTGGTCTTGGGAAAGTGACAGTGGCTGGGCTGGGTGGAGGCAAAATGGATACACATCACCTGAGCGTTTTCCAGCTCCACTATCTTTAGTACAACCTGGGACTGTGGCACAGGTGAGCGTTGGACTTTGGAATTCAAAGCAATCTCTCATCTCTCAAAAGCCTTATTTTTCAAATAAAAATGTTTTAGCTTTTGATATGATCATGTTGGTTATAAATGTTGGGAGTGGATTTTGCAACTCCTGGTCAAGAATTAATTCTCTATTCTTGCTTTCTTCTTGCCTTATGCCTATTAATCTTTGCAATGGGCACAATGCTCCCTCCCTCCTCCCCCAGTGTGCTTCTGTTTCTCCCAGATTTCTCTGTAACTCTGCTGGCAGCAACCTGGTGTCCACTTGCTAAGTCTTGGGATTCTCTTCAACTTTTTCTTCTCTGAGTCTCTCTATTCCTCCTCTGCCTTTGCTTTGTCCCTGGGCCCTTCATTCTTTTTTAAAGTTACAAATTGATAAATTACACTTGTATATATTTATGGGATACCCCGTGATGATGTTTTATGAACACAAGATGGAATGATTAAATCAAGTGAATTAACGTGGCCATCACTCATATTTGTGATGAGAATGCCTGAGGTTTG